GACAGAATTTAGCTCCTTTTCTGGGACACAGTGCTGAACAGAAGGGTTGACATTTCTCCAGGCATAACCCATCCCGGGATTCATATTTCTGAAGTTAGTGGCTGATCCAAGAACTAGCAAAAGAGGGGGTCAGGGGAAGGAAAGATACAGATGAAAGGTCCAGACTACCTCAGCCTCACCATGGTCAGGGCTGAGGCATGTAGTGATACAAAGATATCACATTCTAAAGCAGTGGTAGCTCCAAGAATTCAAAGAGGGGGCCCAGGGAGGAACTTTCACAGATGGAGAGTCTACTACAGACTACCTAAACCCCACCATGGTTGGGGGCTGAGGTAAGCAAATTTATGATTATGGCACCTCTAGATGGCTGGAAATGGGACTTTTTGTCCTAATTTTGATTAATATAAATTTCCTTTTTTTCTCTATTTTTTTAAAAATTAAGTGGTTCCAGCTTTAATTCGCCACTGCATTTTTCTTTGGGTGATATTGATACGAGACCCTGGTACACTCTTTATAAAACTGACTGCATTTCAATAATTTTCACGTATCACAGTATCCAGCCTCTATATCCTTTAAACAAAGCTGAATCTGTAACCAACCAAGGATGCTATCAAGTAATGACCCTCTGGCCATAGCAGTTTGTATACATTTTAGTATCTTCTATAACCTTGGTCTCTTGAATCAGTTTGCATGAAGTGTTCATTTTGCCTATGTCCATAATAGTGATCCTGTCTCTGCCAATTTTGTCTCTCCCTCTGATGGTTGCTATGGTAACTGTCTCTACCTCGTTTGTTGTCGTTTGACCTGTACTCCTCATGCCGCCTTTTGTAGCGGTTATGTTGGTGATGTTGACGACTTCCGTGTCCCCTTCCATGGAAAGCTCCTCTTCTATATAAAGAAATATGCAAGATATGGAAGGATTATAAGAAAATAATAATAATAATAATTCTTTATTTGTCCTCGTATATGTATGCCTAAACACTGGGAAATTTGGGCTGGGTCCCGCGGCTGCCATAGTTTGGCGCCAACTACCAGACTTACTCTACAACATCAAACGGATACAGACTGATGCATACATGGTCCTTAACTCGCCTAACTCTCCTGAGAGGGTTATTCGAGGAGTGAGCATTTTTTTTTTTTTTAATTATAAAAGACCCGAATTCAATACTCGATACAGAGCCGGGTATTGAACCCGGACCCTGGCATGCAAGAGGCAGGAATTGTGACTATTAAAAAAAAAGCACCTGCAAAAAGAATGGGCAGCAGTCAGTAAACAGAAAAACCAACAAACCTGTTCTGTGAGTTCCAAGGAGGAGCAAAGCGTTCAACAACTGGAATAGCTTCAGCATCGTTTGAACTCTTGTATGGTAAGTAGCCTGGATCCAGCTCAGTGAATCGATTCTTAAACATAACTTCAAACTTTTTCAGAGCCTCTTCCTCTTCAAACTGTTCACTGCTTGTAGAGTCTGCATTGGTATTATGCTCAGCAGCTTCTTCTTTGGCTAATTCACATGATGTATCTTGACACGAGTCTGTTTGCTTATCACAATCTGGATGCATGTCCATTGTCTCATCTTCTAGTTTTTTCTCAAATACATCCTTCTCTTCTTTTTCTTTGTCTGCCATCTAAGTCTAGATCAGTTGGCCTATCAAAGAAATAATTAAAAAAAATCAATATTAATATTAAATGGAAATTTTGCATAACATGTCTGTACATAACCCTTAAATGTTTGCACAGAATAATATCTCAGTAACACCACCAATGGATACAAGAAAAAGTGGTTAAGTTCCCAAACTAATACTTTAATTGCACTAAAAGAAAATGAAACTCGAGACTAGAAAAATAAGAGGGAAAAAAGATAAATGAATTAAATGAAATAAATGATTTTTTAAAATATAGTCGATGAGAAAAATAGCTAACACAATAGCTGCAGTTTGTGAGCTGTCGATGTCAGGAGAATAAAGAAATTTACGAGAATAAAGAACAAAGATTTTTTTATTTTTTTTTTATTTTGAAAAATAAAACAACTATTATTAACATTTATTAACCACATCCTTGATTTCTGAATCACTTTAGTTTACCTAGTCATGTTGAGCCTCACTAGGACAGACGTCTAGCCTATTTGCTTGACCTTGCTAGCTATGCCAGCCTATGCTAGGTTGTTGTGTAGGCCTAAGCCCCTAGGCCTAGTAGCTAGTAGTAGTAGGCCTAGGCGAGGGCTAGGCTAGCTTATGACTAGATAAGTGCAAGCCTGTATTTAACTGTTTTTGAAGCTTCAAAACAGTTAAATACAGTTGATGCATTAATTTTATAGTATAAGAAACATACTTTTAAGACACGGTGATGACAACGATTCTAAATAAAAATCCTAGAATACTGTACACTGATATTCTTTCCAACAAAAACAAGATTTCTCTTTTTGTTCCTACTGCCTTTAAATACATCTAATTAGACTGAGGAAGGCACTTCGCATTTATTTTTTTGTAAAACCTCTATTGTTGCTGGCTGGGCTCATTCCTGTTGTAGGGAACAATGTTAACATGGACATGTGGTGGCGCTAGATTGTCAACATTAAAACGAAACAAAAAAATGTGTGCGCGATCGAAAGTAGAATCGGTACCAAACCCGAACACTGTACAGTACATTCTAGCAAAATGCATACAAACTAATTTATATGAATAACTAACCAGGTAAATATAAAACATAAAACCTTATCCTCGTTTGTG